GAATCTGGATCATTATCAGGTTTATCTATCTTGATATGGCAACCATCGATAGCCCCTATAGCCATAGGAAATCCATTAGCTCTGAATGAAATCTCTGATTCTCGTTTTTCTTCATCGTTAGGCCATTTGATTATTTGTGGTGAATAGTTGCTCAAAAAGTATGTAAGCCGTTCAATAATTCTATGCAGAGAACTTAGTGTAATATTGAAACGGTCTGCAACATCACGGAAGCTTGTAGTTTGGTGCCCAACAAACCACATAAATATAAGGACCTAAAATCAATAAATGGTAAAGTGGTAGGTGCATTGTGTGAATTGGTGAATTGTTAATATTATATTAAATGCTAGCTAATACCATTGAGTATATCTTTGGTCCCAGGTAAAAAGGGCTTAAGTCAATTTTTCACAAAAATGTTTTTTTTTTCGTAGATTTAAAGCTTGATTTTTGCTGATTTTTTTGGTCCAAAATAAATCAGTGATGATTGTTACTGACATTATTAAATAAATAAATAGGGAATATGTGGAGTTTTTCTATTTTAAGTTTGGTAGAAAAGGCATAGATCCCAGTGAATCTGATTAAATATAATTAATTATGTTAAATAAAACTAAAAGGAAAACTATTTTTTAATAATTCTTATATTCCAAAAGTTAAAATCTATTTTGAATTTTTTTATTATTATGTTTCAAGACTAATTTTTATAAACTTTAATTCTTATATCAAAATATATATTTTACTATTTAATAAAATTGTATTTTAGAGTAAACATTAATTTGTAATTAAATTTGATAAGTTTTGATCAAAATCATTTAAGTCATAATTTTATTTATTTGATCAAAAAGGCTTGTCGTAAAAAAAAAAGAGTCAGAATAAGTGAAATCCAAATTAAGTAATTAGTTAAGTCTATAAATAATTACAAATTTAAGAATTTTAGGTCATAAATGTACACAGAATTTGATTAATATACATAAATGATTTCTATAATATTTGTGGTTGTGATACTAATATGTGTAGGGAATTTCCAAACTTTCAAATGACTGAGCTGAAAAGTTGATTAAATTAAGCCCTTTCTACCTGGGACTAAAGATATATTATAATCAATGCTCAAATWGGTACAATGTACATAAACTGAACTAAAACACTACCAACCTGGTCATCCGCAGGTATTTTACCAAATTGGCCATGTCTGTTTWTTTTWAAATAATTACTTTCTCTGTACAAATCAGTAATCCTTGTTGTCAAATGAYGACTAATCCTGAAATGCCCAAAATATGTTTCACAATCATATTGTTGGACAGTTTCTTCTAAACAAAAAAAAAGTAAATTAATCGTTAATAAAACAGAAGCCCGTTAACATCTACTCACCTATAAAACGTTCGTTTTTTATTTTATGGTTATTAATTAAGTCCAACCCGTCGTCAGAGGAAGAACTGGATGCAAAAAAGTCATCTGAATCGTCAATATCGCTCATTTTTAATGCATTTAACAGCAACTACAGACAAGTTTACTAAGCAAAAAGTAAACCATAGAAAAAAGAACTAGTAAACAGTAAACTAAGCTGTATTTACAGCAACCGCCAACCACAGTAATGAATGCCGGTGAGACCCTAAGGTAGGCACTAGGCAGGATCGCAGGAATGCAGGATCGCAGGAATGCAGGATATGCTTATCACCTTCTGGCTGCTGGGTCTTCAGTTTTGTATTCATACTCGGGGACAGCGACCCTACTACCAGTATTACGGCACCATACTTTTTATTTTAAATTTGGGCACACTGTAAGCGCAGTCCATCAGTATTCAGTCAGAAACGCGTTCCAACTAGTGCTGGACATT